TAAAAGCCTATCTGTAGACTTCCTGGGTTTGTTCAGCTTCAGGAGTTGTAGCTTGGGAAGAGCCATTCCTTAAAAGGGAAGTCTGAAGAGATTTTATTTCTTGTCCTTTCAAGAATTGATGCTGCACATCATAATTAGCTCTGCATTGTCATTACACCCTGCAGTCATCTTCAGAAATGACTCTGCCTTTAGGTCCTGAAACTATTTGTCCAAATTTCCCTTTGCTTCGGTTTTTTTCCTTTTTAATTTTGAGAAGCAGTTAAGTGCCCTATTCCCTTATCATGATTTTTATGTCTCCTTAATTTACTTTGGTTATAGAATAAAACTCACAAACTCTTCATATTGCAGACTGGGCCCACTTCAACTCAGCTCCACTAAATTTGTTTGCAAACTGTAAGGAGCTGGAGGAGAGCACTTGATTTCTGCTTAAATTAAATTGACAATTACATAACTGGTTTGGTTGTTTTAACTGAAGAAAAAAACAACTGATTCAACTATTATGAAATTAATAATGATATAATTGACTTTCTGAATTTTAAACTGCATAATTGTAAAGCTCTGAAGAGCACTGGTGAACATAAACTTGGAGAAAGTTCAGGAGGTGGAGAAAGTCAGGAGTAAAGTTGAACCCAGGAAGAAGAAGAGTGGGGGAAGGCGTTATTAAATTTGGGTTTATTTCTTATTATCTGATTTGATTGGTAATAAATTGCATTTTCTCTCCCCTGCCCAGCTGAGGAGGACAGGGATGGAGTGGCTTGGTGGGCGCCTGGTGTCCAGCCAGGGCCAACCCACTAAAGCAGTTTACTACGCGGGAATCTAATTAAAAGTGTTTGTGAGATAAAGCACTATTGTTCCTCTGAGGGGCAACTGGGCCTTTTTTAATGAATGTAAGTTTCTGCTACTATGAATGGATGGATGGATAGACATCTAGTTTTGAAATACAATCCCCTTTGAATTTTTACATTCCCTTTACTCATTCCAGCAGCCATTTTCCTTGTGTCCTCTGTTATGGAGTCAAACCTAATACTAGTACTCAGAGAGCCTTTATGTGTGCACACACATCCACCTGCATACACATCATAGAATCATCAAGGTTGGAAGAGACCTTTAAGGTCATCAAGTCCAACTGTTAACCTGTTACTCCACTGTAACCCCTACACCCTAAAAGACCCCTAAACCTCTGAAGGCAAGAGGCAGCACCAAGCCCAGGCTGACCCACCTGTACATCTGTCCATACACATTTGTGGAAGAAGGTTTGCATTCCCATACCTGCTGTACATTGGCTTGAAGAAGATCTCCCAGGCGCTCCACAAGCTCAGTGAAAGTTGGCCTCTCTGTGGGAACTCCATGCCAACAATCCAGCATTGTCTGGTAGCTGGAGAAAAAACACAGGCATTAAGAAATGAAAAGGAGAGCATCTTTGCTTCCAAATGGTTTCATTCCAGTGCTGCTTGTTTTGGTCAGTCTTTGGATAGTTTTGGATTAAGACAGGTTCAAATCTACATGTGCTGAAATTCTATCCTAATTTCCATGTGGGATGCTTTTTGCTTCCATATTCCTGCCTCAGTTGTGCCTGTAGGCTTTTTGTTTTCACCTAACTCAAACTCTGGCTGCTGGGCCCTGCTGATGCTGACAGCCCTGTGACTGAAGTAAGTCACAGCTGTGGCTGCAGGTTTCTGCCACAGAACTGGACAACAGGGCAGACAAAATGTTCTCCTGACCTGAGATCCATGAACTACATCTTGGTTCATCTTGGTGTTGGCAAAGGTCAGGCTGGCTTGGGCTGCCTTTAGCATTTGTCTGTCGTGTCAGGACACCCAAGATATACACAACCACATTTACTGAAAACAAGCCACACAGCTGTCATCTGATGAGGTCTCCTTCCCCCTCCACTCTTAAATACAAGATCTTTTGTTATATTTAAATGGCATGTATCAGCTCTCAACACAAACCCAGGAGCTCTTACACTTCTGGAGTGGAATACTCTGGAGATCTCATCCGGGTTCCTTCTTTGAGCCGTCGGCAGAAGTCCTCATCTATCTGTACTCCAGGGTATGGAGAGGCACCTGATGGGAGACATAAGGAGGAGGCTCCAGAATGGCACATTCCCTATTTCCCAGTCCAGTGAATTAAACATGAATCAGTGATCTCTGCTGAGCATTTGAGGTTACCCAGGGTCTGACAGCAAAAGAAGCAAGAGCAGAGAACTTGCAGTGACCTAATATCTACATGTTTTGTTTGGAAACCTGTTAAAGACTCACTCTGTCTCTTAGAGATTTCAATCGCAGTGTCTCCTCTGCACTTGCAATATAGCCAGGACCACTCCAAGGTAAAACAGGGCAGAAGAGAAATAAATTCTATCCGTTTGAGACTTTAAATGACCTCTTGGTCAGTGGTAGAAAAGTTCCAGCTCATTCAATTGGTTGTATACTATTAGCCTGCTAATATCCTGCACTAAGTGAATGGAGTAAGTCCTGCTCATCCTCTGTTGCCTTAGAATCTCTGGCCTCACAGATCTTTGTGAGAAAGTGCAGAGGAAGCTGTGGGCATGTGTCCCCTGCAGAAAGCTGTGAGAACCTCACAGTTCAATCTCAAGTGTGGAATTGTAGCCCTCCTCCCCTGGTTCACCCGTATTGTATATGTATTATTCAGTCCTACAGGTAAAACTTCCTTGAAAATGACCTTTCAGCTTTTTAGCCTTGTTTGCTTTTTGACTGTGTGTTCAGTGCTGCTTATCTTCAGGGCCACTCAAAATTAGTGTGAAACCTGGGAGAACAGCTCATGGCAACTGTAATTGCTTTTGAGGGGTAGACTGCTGTAAAGGGACTGGTAGCATTGTATTAACTTGCACAAAAGTAGGCTTAGCAGTCATCAACATGAATCAAAAAGTCATCATTGCCTGTGTAGATGGTTCTCTTCAGAGGAGGGACTCGTGTAAATGCTCCTCAACTAATGAGCCAGTGGGGCTTTTCAGAGGTTATGCTCTTTGCTGTATGACATCTCCAGTGCACCATAAGTAAAGAGAACAAATACATAGTTTGAGAAAGTGCTCTGGCCTCTGAGTAATCCAGACCTCACAGGTAAAATTCTAGAGATGTCTGTACTGAAGTTTGAAAGGTTACTGAACCTACTGTGGATAGACCTAAAAGCTTCCCTCCCTTTCTCCTCAGCAAAGGCTTCACAGGCAGCACAACACTTGTCTTGCACATTTTGGAATCCAAGAGACTGGATGATGAATTTGGAAACAATTTAATCAAGTCTTAACATAGGGGATTGAATGGAATCTGGATCTGTATCCAGCCCTCAAGGAATCTGTGTATGATTTACTGTCTATAACATTCCTGCATATTTCCTGCAATTTCTTCCCCCCACTTGGAAATACCATCATGTGCTGTGCACTTGGGGGCACAACAAGCACAGCAGAAATCTTTTGGATAAAGGCAGTGAAGAGGGTGCCAAAATGTGGCTGCTTCCAGAATTATTCTACTCCATGAATCTGACTGCTCAATCTGCAGCACTCTGCACTGGGGAGCAGAGATCCTGGCAACCTCCTAAGAGGGCATCTCAGCACATCAAACAGGCTCCAAGGACATCCAAAGCTCAGGGATGCTTAGCCACTGCACATCTGAATTCCCTGAATGTGCAAGTACCAGATCACAATATTGAGAATGTTTCCTGGAGTTATGTAAGTTGGATATAATCAGTAGCATCATTTCTGCTTTATATCTTGATTTTTCCTTCCTAGTTTTGCCTTTGGCCTGTCAATATGCTCAGAATAACCTGGAAATTAACTGTTCAGCTCACATGGCGTCACCCTTTGGCCAAAGGTCTCAAAACAGGCTCCTATAACTTCACGAGATCCCTCTGAATAAACAGATGGACAGAAACTGTAGTGTCACCTTCCCCCAGTTACACTTTGGCACAGAGGTGAGGATGGGAACAGGATGGAGGGCACTGACTGTTGTCCAAGGTACCATACTGCTGTCTGTGTACCTCTCCTGACTCACTACCTAGTCTTGCCTTCTGTCCATGCTTACAAACCCTTCCAAGGTACTGGGGCTGCACAGATCCAACCACAACGTGCCCAGTACTCCTGTACCCCTTAACAGGGCACAGCCTCTCCAGAGAAGCGAGCATGAGCCTCACTTGATCTAGCTGGCTCTACATTGTCCATATCCTGGGGCAACACTGAAAACAACACAGCTCATTAGAGAGGGATAGGCTGCATGGCCTCTGCAGCCATTTTGACTGCATTATGTGATTGCTGTGCCATCGTGGCCAGTTGTTTTCCATTGGGACGAGCTGAGTGGAGCTGTACACTGAGGAGTGGCTATTTTACACTGACCATTCCCATGTGCAGAAGAAACCGCTCAGTTTGCTGAATATCACTGGCTGGACTTGACTCATGAGCAGAACAGAGGTTATTGATAAGAATTAGTATTGCAAATGTGTTGATTGGGACTGAGACCTTGAGGGCAAGATGGTTGAATGGGGTGAGGAGGGATTTCACAATCTGAGTTATCTTTGTTTGCATCATTGGTCATATCAACTGCAAAATGTTGGTGAGAGCAAGTCCAAGGAAGGCAAAGAAGAATAATTTTTGATTGCAAGATCTTTTGGTAGTTTATATTTTGACTGGTTCTAGCCTCCTACCAGCTGGAGGCAGCTCAGATCTTAAAAGCAAGGAACTCTCCCTTTTTCACTTCCACTCACCACAGTACTTCATCTGGACTATGTGATAAGCCTAATAACTTGGATTTGGGATGCTGAGACAGCTTGGGAGAAATGTAGGCTGAAACATATGGTGTAAGGGCTACACATGATGTTTTCCTTAAGGGAAATCTCTTCCAAAATGCTCAAAGATGTGGCATGCATTGCATATGGGAGCCCTCTTTTGATCTTGGTTTTATTTTAGTAGGATAATAAGATGCTGATGTTATACTACCAGGCACTGCTTGTTTACATAATTATCTTTGATTGCTTTCTGAACAGTGCACATTGAAATTCCAGAAGACACCAACATTCTGTAATGGAAGTGATTTCAAGATGCATTAAACATTGCTGGCACTACCTGACATGAGGTGTGCTGACCCCATTTGAATAATTTAAAGCTCATTGCAAACTCAGCCCAAAATGAAAATTAACAGTCTCTCAAGTCCTGATTTCCCTGTGTAGCACCAAAATGGATCCAGTCTGCCAGCCTTTCTGGAGGAAGCCTATGGTGCTTCATTCAGCTCCTGACCTTGGAAGGACCCAGGACCAAACTAAACTCTGCACTTTACTAATCAGTATTTTTTCCCGTTTTCAGGGGGTGCTAAATCTGTGGGACCCAGTAAAAGCAGCAGTTGTAAATGGGAACCAAAACATACCCCGTAGCAATGACAAATAACTTCTATCCCTTGGCTCTCAATGATCTGTAAAACTTTTATATAAGAGAATTCAATCAGTGACACAAATCCTTAATTAAATATTTATCGTTTGAGCTGCAGATGTGAGCAGTGCCAAACCACAGGCATGCCTGGATGATCTCTATGAAAAACCCTCTCAGAGAAAACGACTGTTTTTGAGTCTGTGCCACGGATTGGAAAAGGAGTTTGTGATCTACGTCACACCGAGGGCAGAGGCTGCTGCACGGATGGCAGCCCTGGCAGTCCTTCAGTAGACTCCTCTGAATTCAGAGGACAGTCTTTGTGCCAAACAAGCACCTTCATTAAGGAAAGGGTCTATCTAAAATTAAAAGAAACCATATACATTGTTTTTAACAATAGTTCAAAATAGAGATAAATTTCAGTGACTATATTTTAATTTGCATTAGTCTTCAGTATTAAAGGGCAAATGACCCAAAGCTCACATCTGTTAAACTCTGTCAGGACCTTTGGGAAAGACAGAAAGTTTGACTTCAGCTGTGCTGCTTGCCATTGGTCAGTATTCAATTCTTTTGGTTCCCTGGAGATGCCCAGTGGAGAGCCCAGTGGAGTGCCCAGTGGAGAGTCTGACTCTGCTGATGCTAATGCATTTTCCTGAACAATCTGTTAGAACTGGGGCATTGCTGGCGCTTCTGGAGCTTTGCCTTTCCATGGTGTTTCAAAACACCTGCAGCAGGTGATGCTGTTACAGAGCCATGGAGGTGTGACACCAAAATAACAACACTCAAAGTAAACAGGACTGAACCCCAGAGGGAGCAGTAACTGCCACTTGTTTTACCCATTTGAGTGGGAACTTTCTGCTTTCTGTGCTGATACGGACTAGAGAAACGTCCAAATCAAAGACTTGGACTGAAATCAGGTTGTGAGTTTGCAGCCAGCCCTAAATAAAGATCAGGCTAGAAATGGCTCCAGACTTTGCATCTTGACTTGGCATCTTGAGCCTGATCATTAATTTCAAATGATCCATGAACTAAAGATAGAAGGAGATTACAGAGTTTGCTTTACAATCCAGCAGCTTAAGTTGACAATGCTTCTTGGTTTCTTTTGTCTGCAAATGCTGATTAAAAACCCAGAGCTGACATTGCTAAATCCCCTCAGGAAAACAAAACTTGCCACGCTGCAAGGAGAATCTGGGAGCAGCAAAGTCGAACTGTCTGTAAGGCTGCTTGTCTAACCTCACAGCTTTATCTGCTGGACAGTAACCAGATCTCAGTGAGGCTGATTTCCAGCAGCTGCCTAGGAGGAAATCTGTAGTACATAAAGAAGACCATTGCTGTACTTTCAGAAATGTTGTGACTTGCAAATGATACAACCAGAAGTGTACATGCTCTACCTGTCTGCTGCCAAAAGCACTCTGCCTGAGTCTAGCACTGGTTCTCCTATCACCCTGATGGCAGCTGCTGTCAATAAATTTTTCCTCCTGGGAAAATCTTATTTAGAGTCTGTGGAGAAGATAATCAAGCTGGGATAAAATGTCATGTGGGCAAACTCCCCTGTGTGCCATGGACTGCCATGAGCAGCATCAGCTCACTGTGTCCACAGCAGGGTGAACCTCTGCAGCCCTGGAGCAGTGTGCTTCAGGAAAATACCGTGTGATGGGAAGCTTCTTCATCTCTCTTAGAGAAGTGTTTCACTCCCCAGCAGCAGACTTGCATTTTATCTCTGGGCTCTTCTGCTTTCACTTGCTACAGATGTTAGGTCCAGAGTCTTGGATTTTTGTTCCCCCCTCCCCAGTGTTCACTTTTTCATGCACTTTGCCAAGTGGAGTTCTCACTGACTTCAGCCCAGGGACTTTATTTTACACCTGATCTGCACTGTGTCCTTATCCAAACTGAACCAGAAACATTGCTCCACATTATCACCTTTAGTTAGAAGTTTTTCTTAGCAAAGAAGTCATAAATTAGGGGGAAGAAAGGGTTTGAAACCACTCTTACCTAGAGAAAATATTTCCCACAGCAGCACTCCAAAAGACCACACGTCACTCTGCGTTGTGTAGATCTTGTCGAAAATGGCCTCTGGAGCCATCCATTTGAGTGGAAGCCGTGCCTGAATGCCAGAGACACAACAGGTTGCCAGAGCTGCTGTTACTGATCTGCCCAAGCCCACAGGGAACAACAACTTGAGAACAGCAATTGGAGCTTCTTTCACTTACATCTCCTTTCCGTACATAGTCAGGGTCTTTGTAAATATCCCTGGCTAGGCCGAAGTCACAGATCTTAACTACATTGTTCTCTGAGAGAAGGATGTTCCTTGCTGCCAAATCCCGGTGGATGCACTGTGGAGGCATGAGGATACACAAGATCAGAGGAGCTGCCTGGACAACGAGCCCCTGAGATAGCTGAATGCAGGAGAGCTTCTTTGGGAATTAAATATACAGATTAAATGAACTACTGCCATGAGCAGGTTAGAGAAGGGAAACTAGGAAGCTGGAGAGGGACTGTTTGTCCTGTCACTCCAGTGATAGGACAAGGAGTAATGGGGATAAATTGAAAGAGAGGAAATTTAGATTAGGTATTAGGAAGAAGTTTTTTCCTGTGAGGGTGGTGAGACACTGGCACAGGTTGCTCAGGGAGGTTGTGGCTGCCCCAACCCTGGCAGTGTTCAAAGCCAGGTTGGATAAAGCCTTGAGCAACCTGTTCTGGTGGGAGGTGTCCCTGCCCAGGGCAGGGGGTTGGGACTGGATGATCTTTGAGGTTCATTCCAGCCCCTTAACATACTATGAAACTATGAAACTATGATACCTGTGTGAGAATCTGCCCCAAATACACTGTCATATGCAAATGAGAGAATAACTTGGGGAACAAGCCAATATTACAGTTAGTTTTCTGATTTGTCTGTGTGAAATAACTTTCATGGTTATGACAAGATGAAGGGAGTCCTATTTTCCAGTTAATTGTTCACTGGGAAATCTGAGGTGTGTCCAAAAGCAGCTGGAGCTACGGGTTCATTTGTGAATACAGGCCCAGGAGTGCGTGAGATGGGGCAACTGTGCTCAGGATTTCTGTGTGCTGCCCTGGCAGCTATGTGTGAGTGCAAGCTTGCAGCTGTGTGCACACTTTGGCATGTGTATTACATTCGCTTTACTTGAAAAGGTGTTACACTTCCAAGGGAGGTGCTAACTTTGCTGATAGTCTCCAGCACTGCTGACAAGCTAAAGGAACAGCTGCATACTCCCCCTTCATTTTTCAGCACTTATATTGTTGACCACACTAGAAGGATTTTTCCCTACGAGAAGTTCTTGCTGCACTTATTTATGAGGCAGTTCCATGAATTGTCTTACAACCTGTATTTGCTGCTATCTAAACTCTCCTGTTACAGATGCCAGTCCCTACAGCCAAGAACATGATGGATATTGCTTCACAACCTCTTCAGTGCTACTTGTTGCTTAACCTCAAAAGCTAACGTGATCTCCAGCACTTTACTATAAGAGCAGAAAGGAGATTACTCAGTCTCAAAAGTGTGTTTGGATTTCTTCATCTCAGATACTCATGATTCTGTGCAAGAAGTTTGAGCTCACTTTTCGGGAGGCGAGAAACTCCATGCCTTTTGCCACTTGGAAGCTGTAGCAAATCAAATCCTCCAAAGTCAGGGGCCTCTTGTACAGATCCTCAGCATCTAGGAGAGATCACAGACATGGCAAAACACTAAAGCAGTAGCTCCAAACCTTTGTGTCTCTGGTGCCACTTGCATGCTGATGACCCCAGCCCTGCATCTGAGTGTTGTTATGTGAGATCTCTGCTAGGGTTACAGCTCTGGGTTAGGAACCACTAACCCAGAGACAGAAGATCAGATGATTAAAAAAGTTCCATCATCCATTAATTATGTCATTTAGCTATGGAGAAAACAACATCTGGGGATAGAAGACAGGGAAACTTTATAGAGAGCAAGTGAGGAGACTGGGAACAGAGTGGCCTTGCAAATCTTCTGGTCAAACATGGCTCTTACTCCTCTCACACAACAGGAGCAGCTTTTATATGCAATACCTTACTGCCAGTCTCTTTTGTGAGAAAGTTGAAGTGGGGAACAGGCAAGAGAAAGAATTTGCTATTTCAGGAACAATTCAATCTGTGTAAGGGCTTGGAAAGTGTGTGACAGCGTGTTTGGCACTAGCCAAGTAGCAGAAGTCTTTACAATAAAAGATTTGGGATTAGGTAGGTTTCTTTTACCTTCTTCATCATCTTCTGAATCACTGTAACTCTTATCTTCAATAAATCCTGAGCTGGCAGAGCTGCCTGTGCTGGCTACACTCTCAAGGCGCCTCTTAATCAGTTCGGTCAGATCACTGTTGGACTCATCCAGACTTTTCTCTGCTTGGTCAGAATTTTCCTGGGACTAGAAATGGCATAAAACTGACTTTAACTTTGTATGATGCAATGCCTGAGGAAATGTAAAATATGTAACAGAATGGCATATGAAGAAAGAGTCCTCTGAAATGAGCTCCAAACATGTGTGAACATGATGTTCCCTGAAGAGCAGAACCAGTGATACCTGGTTTCCTCTTTATTAATACAGAACCTCCCAGTTTGCCGATAGCAATATTCCACCAGAAAAGCTAGCTGGAACCTGGCTGGGTGAGACTGATAGGTGAGCAGAGAGATGCTGTCATTCTGTGCCTCTTGCTTTCTTAGGAAAGTATGCTAAAATCAGACATGCATCTGTCTCACCCTGTCCTGGGCAGTGAGAACCAGCCCCTCGGTCCATGGAAACAATGGTGAGAAAGAAATTCTCGGTGACTGTATCAGGAAAATCTCCTTCACTTACACAACATACCTTATGTACTCCCATGCCTGTACACAATGGCTGTAATAATAATAGGATCATCCGGGAAAATAACCTTGGGGAGGCTCCAGTTTCTGGCAGGGCTGGGATCAGAGAGCCCTTTTCATGCTGTATATTCACAAGGAGCAGGTAGTCCCATCCTCTCCCCATTGCTCCTTTCTGGCCTCCTGTGTCCTCCCACTATTCCAGCCCAGTCTGTGCTAGGACAGATGTTTAAGTGGATGCAGACAACTGTTTGGAAACTAAACCATTTGGTCAGTTTTCCTGCAGACTGTGTAAGCTATCCAGGTTGCTGCACACAGCACAGAATTCTGGGCTGGCACAGGGGAAGGGAAGGGAAGAGGATGGGGATGAGCAGATGGTGGAAGGATGAGCTGCTTTTGGTGTGTGTGGGGTGGGCCTAGAAACAAAAATTCCCAAACACAGCACAGAATTCTGGGCTGGCACAGGGGAAGGGACAAACAGAGGATGGGGATGAGCAGATGGTGGAAGGATGAGCTGCTTTTGGTGTGTGTGGGGTGGGCCTAGAAACAAAAATTCCCAAACCAGGATTATATTTTGTGAGAATTTACCCTCTCTTAGTTCAGCTAACACCAGTGTTTCACTACTTCTCTGTTGCTCCCTCCTTGTTCTGGGTAATATCTCATAAGCAATTCCCTCTCTCAAGTGCACTACAGTTCTTAGGTATTTGCAACTAATTCTTTAGGAAATGCTAGGACGAAGAGGATGGGAGCAAGATCCTGTAGAGAACAAAGTTTCCTTCTCTTGCTTGTACAAATTGAAGTGTGGAGAGAAAAAAAAGTGCCCACAGAAATACCCAACTGCCTCAGTGCCAAAGCAGAAAAATCCAGCTTGTGTCAATGGGTGCTGATTCCCTGCCTTGTGACTTGAGAAGTCTGTCATTTTCTTACCTTGTATGCAATGAAATCTCCTCGTTTTCCTCTTAGATAGTTGGACAGATTTCCATATTTGCAATATTCTACTATGACCATTAAAGGACCTAAAAAAGACAGTGAAAGTCAAATGAGTTTTGAAGCACTGCAAAGTATATAATTCTACCTTATCCTCCCAAATCCTCTTCAGAATAAGTGAATACTGGCATTCCTATTGTACAGATGAGGAAATGAGGAAACAGAGAAGTGACACTCCAGAAGGACACAGTCAGTAGGGATGTGGAGAGAAGGGAACACAGTACTGATTCTTAGTTTTCCCCATTAGATGGTAACAGTTGGCATTTATTCCTTATTTATAGGAAAAGGAAAATTTGGAATGGCCAATAGAATATACAATCACAGATGTTATTAAAGTTGGTTTACTCTGTACATAGTCCATAGCATGGAGGAGTTTTCATTTTCTCTGCTGGCTTCACAACTGTTTGTTTTGGGTGGAGCTGATGCCATGAGAGGAAATAAAAGTATGCAGGTCCATAGACAGACATAAAAGTTGCAAAAATATTTAGTCTGAAGTTTTTGAAAGCCTGGAAAGTCCTCTCAGTTCCTTCCTTTCTTATTTCTGTGCAAACTACTGTAGATTCAGTGCAATTGCTGCTTCTATATAATTATGCATACTTTTAAGATCTGCTCGAAATGCTTTTATGTTGCAGTGTGAACTGTTAGGGAAGGGAAAAGCTGCATTCTTTACCTTTGGCACTGCTTCTTGTAATCATCAAATGGACAATAAGCTGAAATCGTGGGACTAGGGTGTGTTATAAACTTGTTACTATCAGTCCCAAGATATCAAACTTTCACGTCCAGAAACCTTTTTTTGTCGAGGTCTATAGTTCAGACTTAGGAGTTTGAACTTCAGTGGAAAAGTGCTGATAGCTGCACTTGGCCTTGGGGCAGATGGCAGCTCTGGGTATCATTCCTGCCTGCCTGTATCCACCCGGGGCACACAGAGCTGTGCTGCAGTCTGTCCTTGGCCAGGCTGACATGGACAGTATTGACTGACAAGGCTGAGATGGGCTGTGAGGGAGAGCAGCGGGTGAGGAGGGAAGGGTGACCCCGAGAGAGTCTGGCTGCTGCACCTCATCTGAGGCAAGGTGATGAGCACCTTCGGAAACAGACTGTCCCCTTGAAAGGGAGATGGGGAATTCCTGCAATGAGAACCTACGGTTTGGGCATAACATTGTACATTTCTGCCAGGCTCTGTCTTTGTCCAAGCCCTATGGCACTGCTAGGTGTGAGCACACACCTCAGCACTGCTCAGGACTCCCAGCTCCTACTGACTGCAGCTATAACATGTACTTGTCAGCCCTAAGTACACTGTACCAGCAGCTGCAACACACAACTGGCCCAAAATCCAAGCTGCCAGTGGTTCCAGTGCTGACCCCAGAGCCCAGCTCACAGGGGATTCAGGGCATCAGTGCTGGGATCTGGCCGTGCTCAAGGGACTTTGTTCTGAAAGGATAGTGGGCATAAGTGAGTAATGGGGATAAACTGAAAGAAGGTAAATTTAGATTAGATATTAGGACAAAGTTTTTTCCTGTGAGTGTGGTGAGACACTGGCACAGGTTGCCCAGGGAGGCTGTGGCTGCCCCAACCCTGGCAGTGTTCACAGCCAGGTTGGATAAAGCCTTGAGCAACCTGTTCTGGTGGGAGGTGTCCCTGCCCAGGGCAGGGGGTTGGGACTGAATGATCTCTAAGGTCTATTCCAACCCCTTAACATACTGTGATTCAATGATACTATGAAGAACCTGAAGTTGAATGTCCCTCATAGAAGCCCTGAGGAAATGCAGCTTTAAAGCTTCACTTAGTGATTTATTCATGATTTTGAAATGCTTCCTAGATATGGCCTCTCATTAATTAATTTCCTTGTTGTAAAGCATATACTGTGCATTAGTTCTCACTGCTTAACATCAGACACTTGGCCAGAGTGTTAAAATCTGTTATTTTTTGCATTGTTATAGCAATATATGTGCATTCTCAATATCAGTCTTCATCACGAACACGGTTACATGGTTACATAAACCCTAACAGGGAAAGGGGGAATGCTGGGTTCTGCAATGGCATTTTAATCGTAACTCTTATCTCCGTGTCTGTCTCCAGAGCTCAAGGCTTGTTTTCTTTAGTCTGCACTTGCATTGCTCAGAGGAAAACAAGCAATGCCTGCCTGGAGGCTCCTCTGTGCCCTGTGAGGCCATGCTGCACCTCCCTGTGCTGATCACTGATCCCCAAAGGCATCAGAGGTTTCCCCAGGCATCTGGCAGGGAAGAAGTGAGGGTTACCACCCACCCAGGAGGGCAGTCAGGATTGAGCAGGCTGGAGAACTGGAAACAGAGGACTCCTGGGAGAAAAAGTTTCTCAGAGATTGGACAGTCACAGTCTTTGATCAGATCCTGAGATGTGTCTTGCTGTGCAAGCAAAACTCTGTGCTGAATCTGTGCTTTGCTTAAGAACTACTGACCCCTGAGTCATGCTGCCATAGTTGCAGCACCTGTTTGTACTGGGTCACCTCACTGACTTGTCAGGATAGGAGAATCACCAGTGTCCACAGTGTTACTTCCCCTCTACTCACAGTCCCAAGCAAAGGCTCCTTGCTCCTGCATCTGAACCCTAAACCCCTCCAGCTGGAGCTGCCCATCCTCCCATACAGGCTTTTGGGGTCTGCAGGACTACAGCAATTCCTGCAAGTTCCCTGTCCGTGTCTCCCAGCTCCCAGCAGTATCTGTGGCTGCTGCTTGCTGACTGCTCCCTGAAGAATAGGGAACATCTTACTTCCCTGGCATCCTACCAAATCTACCTCACTGTAGTTTTCTTTTTCTCCTGTAACTGGACAAGTACGTGTTCTTTGGGAAGATGATAGCTTGGAGTCTCAGATGACAATAGATGTGTGCACCACCTCTCTCACTTTCCCCCCTTCATTTCTTTCACTCCGGGGTTTTCTTGGCCTCAGGTCACCTAAATCTGCCCTTTGGGGATGATTTTGAAGGTTCATTTTCTGCAGTGAGGAGCCATCTTTGAGAGCTCTTCCTCTGAAGTTAAAGCCCACTAAGAGACAAGGATTCAGCATGGGAAGGGATGTTTTAGTGAGAAAGCTCTGAGATTTATGGAGCCTTTTGTTTGAGTCTGCACTTTGCAACAGACTCTTTGTATGATGTAGAGTCAGTTTTGCCAGCTCAGGTCCATGGAAGTCTGTGCTGTGGCTGCATTCAGCTTGGGCCTGCCCCAGGCTTCCTGTACACTAAGCAAAACCTGCCTGTGTTTGCCTGGCAAGGGTGAAGTGCTTGGGAAAGGGGGAGGCCTCAGGGAGCCAAGTGCTTGGCCTGGTGCATCCTCCTGATAAGGCAGGAAAGGAGAGGGAGAAGAACCTTTGAAATGACCAGTAGTGCCTATGTTGAAGAATTGGGCACCCCACTGCAGTGTCCTGCCTCTCTTCAGTCCACAATCCCTTCTGTAAACAGGCTTACAGTTTCTCTGTTGCAGTTAAAAATCAACAGAGAAGGGACACCACTGGCTGGGAGATGTTCAGAAACCCTTGACGAGCTGAGCCCACCTTCTGCAGCAGCAGCAGCTCTCCTGTGAGCAGAGCTGGAATGTGCTTGCATGAGACCTGGACTCCACCACATACACATCCAAACACCTGTGCCATCTGAGAAGTGTTTCTTTCCTCCTGGTTTACTGGGGATTTCTCACCTCCAGCTTTGGTGCAGGCTCCCAGCAGGTTGACTACATTCAGATGATGTCCTATGTGGATGAGGATCTTCAGTTCAGACATTAAAGCCTTGCATTCATTAGTAGTTGCACATTCTGCTTAAGATAAACAGGAAAGAAATCATCTTTACACAACAGGATATTTTTAACAGGACACAGCAAGATCCTGTTTATACTTTGAAACAAAACCCACCCAGGTTACTTGCAGTATCTTTGCTTTTCACTCTCAAACAGATAATAATTCATCCGTTTCATTGTCTGTTGACCTTTATGAAGTGGAGTAACTTTTGGGTCACTCTTCCTTTCTCGAGCATGGGTTATGGAGGGTTACTGTCCCTTCTCCCAGAGCAAATCCCAGAGAGCCTTTACAAGGACTCAATTTTGCAAGGTTAGCAAAGGACCAACCAACCACTCCAAGCACCCACAGCCCACAGAACATGTTCCTCCATCTCTAAAAGTGATGTGCAGTTTAGTAGCACTTGGTTATAATGCCTCAGAATCTTTTTCCACAGTACTGAGCAACTCTGCTCTGCAGGTGATGGAGGAAAACATATATCTGTAAGCTGCATCCCAAAATGTACTGGGGAATATAGAGCATTAATAAATCTCAGCCCCATGAGATCCTATTGGACAAAGGATAGTTTCCAGCAAAGCAGAGGGGCCACATCTGTGTGTGAGCCATGGACTAGACACCTGGTGAAGCCCTGGCTGGCCAGTGACACTTTCATTTAAGGCAGACCAGAAGGCTGTTCAGCTGCTGCCTTGTTTTCCTGCCTTCTCTCCAAAACTTTTCATGATGTGTTTTAAAGAAGAGACTGTGTCCTGTTTCTTCTGGTTTGGCCTTTGCAACATGCAAGATTTAAATATGAAGAAACAGTTACGTAACAGATCATTTGGTGTGACAAGCGTAACCTCTATATGTTTGTAGAATGCTCCATAAACAGATCTTTCCCCAAATAGTGTCATGAAGAAGGAGCTACACCAAGTCCAAGATTTCTTCAGTCAACAGTGTTTGTAGCTGGATGTTTAATGGGTGGTATCACTCCAGATTTACCCTGGCATGAGCTGGAACACACACCAGACAATATCTAAACAGCACAGCCTCAGAAGTGCTTCAGATAATCTTGCACATTGAATTTTAGCCTTCAATCCAGAATGGATACCAGCCTACGGCATGGAAGTGACAGATTGTGCTAGAATGGCAGAAATGCAGATGTCTCCAGAGCCTTTTTTTCCCCTGACTGGATTGACTGACACTGGAGAATCTGCTTTATTCATGAAAGTAATGACTTATGGGCACATTAGTTGGGGAGGGACAGATCAGAGCAGGAGGCTGCTGCCTCCACTGGGGGAGGGAGGTGTAAAACGATGGAGAAACTGTCAAATAGTTTGCTGAATATGTGCTGGAGGGGTAGAGCTGACATGAGGATCCATTGGGAAGCACAGCATGGAAGGGAATGAAAACCCAGAGCTGTCCAGGGCAGTAAGTTTTGGATGGAGATGGGCATGTGTCTGGATCAGAGGCTTCCAGGATATTTCAGGGATCTGGAGATGGGCATGGAACAGAAGAAACAAAATTGAGAGAGAATATGATCTGAAGATCTACTGACTAAAGCAGAGAAGGGATCCCAAATTCCAAGGAGTTCCAGACAGGTGATAAATGGATGGTTTTGAAATTTCAGAGGGATGGGAAGGAGCAGAGCATCAGGAGAGGCAGCTGGTGACAGAAGGCAAATCCCAATAGAGCAGTTGCTGATTGATGGCATTGCAGGGGTTAGTGCTGTCATGCAGCAGCGATGGAGCAGTGTGGGCCATGACCAGCCATCCAGTGAGCATGGATTGTACCTTTGGAAACATCCTGAGTGAGCAGTCCATGTGCTGACTGATGCATTTATTCACAAACTGTCTGCAGGGGCTTTGTGTGTAAATACAGTATGGAAGAGGTAGTCTCCAAGTTCCCCTTCCCCACCTCCAAATGGGAAAAGCTTTCCTTAATTTCAATAATTGCAAGCAAGATGTCTCTAATTCACTCCCTTGGCATTGCTTTTTTTTCAACCCCTTGAACTGTTCTGCATCTGGAAGGGCTGCAATCGAAGGCTCAGATCCAATTTCAGACTATCTAATGTAATTACATTCTGTAATCTGTTTCCCTCCTAACCCCACAGACCTGGAAGCTGCTGCTTCCCTCCTCTAGGAATACAAGACTTAATCAGCAGCGCAGCACGGAGCCTGCTTGTCATTTCCTACACGTTACAGCCACTGCAGAATGACTAATTGCTCCCACATGGCAAACCCACTCCCTCCTGAACACAATGAGCTTGGGACTGGTTTGGAGCTGAGAACTGGAAACCTCATTGCCCATAGGTTCCCTGAGGAGTCTTGTGAGGATCTCAGAGGGATATATGTACCTTTCAGCATTTTTACAGCAACTGTTTTGCAGGTTGAAGATTTATCAATGCCAAAAGCAGACGCCTCCACCACCTTCCCAAAAGCACCATGACCCAGTGTTTTACCTAGAGAAGCAAGAGTCAAGAGTGAGCCCAGGGGGACTTACAACAGTCTGACTCAGACAGGAGGGGAACATGCAACCTCAGCTGTGCAAGAGACACCAGGCTTGAGGGCCCAGCGCAGCCGCAGCCCAACAGGCACAGAAGCCTTTAGCACATATTGCAGCATATGGATATACAGGGGGGATTTATATCCATATGGCTTTAATGCAATACAGTACGGGACAGAACAGAGGAGAATAAATCAATCTGCACTCAGATGAAGGCAAGGCTGAATACATACACACGGCTTAAGGGTAAAAACATTACCTAGAGCTGTCCTGAAGCCCAAGAAAGTCAAGAGTTTGGGTTAATTGTGGAACCCTGATCTCTTGTGAATCACAGTCATGCAGAGAGCTAGCTAAGGCATTCAGGCAGTCACAACTCTTTAACCCTTCTGTTATTGACATTGATTTGACAGAGAAGCCGGACTAAATGGAATTGAAGAGGATAATCTTTCTTTATTTTCCATTTAATTTGAATTTTCATGCTTGTATTACCTGGTGTGCTCTGAGGGCTCTGACCCACAGTTGCAGCAGAGCACACTGGGCATCATGGTCTGTTTTTTGGTTCTGCTAGTTTGAGCACCAAGAGCGCACACAGATACAGATATATTCCCTAAAAAAAAACCTCGGTGCAATGTTACTGTTTTGCTATACAAACACAACCTACTTTTTACATTTACTTGCTCCATCAGCCAGTGAGCTGAGCTGTTAAATGAAATTTGAATCATTTTTTTCATGATAGCTCTTTACAACTCAAATCTAAGTTCAGGCGTAGATAAGGAATTGACTATTTGATGAAACGATAGATTTCTTCAACATAAAATTCACTTTCCCTTTTCCTCTATGGGTGTGAAACCATCCTTTTGGCAGGGACAGTACCTGGAGGTACCTTTCTTCCCTGTCAAATGTTTGGCTTCACTTTTCCAAGAAAGAAAAAGGTGGTAGCTATTTTGACTGAGACAACACCTTTCTTTTTCTTACCAAATACCTTGTTTCATCCTCCATTAAGGATGAACCTGAATACTGTGCTCCTAAATCCAAGGATGGTAGTACCCTGGCACTAAATGATGGGCTGCTTCGTGGGTTAGACAAGAGATCCACTGCAAATGAGGAGCATTAGGAATCATCATTCTCCACAGCAGTAACACCCAAAGCACTCACCCAGCCGCAGCCTGTCCCTTGGGAACTCCCACTTGCTGCTGTCGTAGGGAAGGCGGTCACACTGCTCGTCCAGGGGCATTTCCTCTGGATCCATGATAATTGACAGGTATCCTGTCTTAATGTCTGTGGCATCAGGCTAAAGACAGGGTGTGGAGAAATTATTCACAGCATTTACCCTGAAATTCTAATGGGAGAGAGCTGTCGTCTGTGAGACTGAGTGCTGTCTGGGGAGTTCCCTGCATGCCAGACTTAGCTCTCCAATTTATTCTGAACCATGAATGCATCACTCCAGCTTCCTGCCTCTCTTTATTTTACATCTGAGAAATAAATGTTTATGTATGCCTGCCACTCATGGCTGTTGGGAAGAGTCACTGACTGATGCTTGTAAACACTCTGAGGACACAAAATCTATATCACTGTCTTCTACCTATATCTGTTACAGGAAATCAGTGCTTTTCCATGGGAACTCCACGAGCTGCACTTCCTGGTGCACTACATTTTGGCATTTTCATAGTGTTTTGTTTTGCAGTCTTGATTCTACATAGTTATCCACTTCATGGCTATTACTTATTACAGTTGTAACTTGGTGGAAAGCTGGTGGAAACTGCTACTTCTGATGCTGCTAAGTGAGAAATTGTGCCTGGGTAGGTGCTGTGAGTAGACTCGCATGGATACAAAATGTAACAGGCAATTCAGTGTTGTCCTCAGCTCTGTTAAACTGAGGTCAAGGAGGAAAACATGAATTTAATGCCTGTTTTTGCAATAGGAGGGGAAATTTTATTCAAGTATTGTAGATCAGCACTGGGACTGCAGTTTGGTGACCTTCAGAGCAGAGCTGTGCTCACCTTGCTGTTTGCTGCATGTTTTAGGAAAAGCAAATCCAAACTCCTTGGAACATTCCTCAAAGTTTACTTTTTTGAGTCACAAAAGGGAGGTGAAAGAAGAGCAAGACTTGCAGACAAAACAAGCTGTGTGGTTTGAGCTCATTTCTAGAGCAGACAGACTAGGATCGTTCTTAAAACAGGGCTCCCTGTTAATACCAATGTTTCAGAGACAACTGCTGAAGGTGAGCCCTCATTTTAGAGGATTTAGGATATTTTTTGGTTTCCTAATCTCACAAGCCAATTTCACTCATAAAGAGGGAGGAGCCTGATTTTATAGCACCACAGAAGTGGGTAGAAACCTCACAAATGCAAGTGATTTCTGGCAAAGTCAAAGGACTATCAGCAGAAACCTTGGACTGAATTTTATAGGAACATTTTGCCCTGTTTTTCTACCATCCTTCCCAAACATTCGCCCCTAAAATTCGATGCTACATATGACTGGGCTCAGTCCCAGACCCTTTGTGCAATAAAGAACCTCTCTTACTTTTCTCAGCTTCCGAATGAATAGGGTCAAGAGAAGCCAAAAGAGAGTGGCAGCTAGCCCAGTGCAGACCAAAATGATCACTTCAATGTTGGATTTCTCCTCAGAACCTGCAGGTTAGACGTACAACCAGATTAGAAATGTAGCCAAAGTTCATGATCAAAAGATACTTCTCCTCAGCCCAACAGAACAGGCCTCACCTTGTATTTTGATGAAGGCTGACGTGCTGTCCTGGCCCATGTCATTGGCTGCCTGGCACTCATAGACCCCTTCATCATCCTTCTTCACTCGCTCAATGATCAGGGTGTTATTTTCCATGGAAATTCCTGTTGTAAGGGATTTTGGTTAATGTTGCCAATAACCTACCTGCCTACAAGTGCTCTTAGGAGACAGAGAACTGAAACTCAGCTCCCATCTGTGCAGGTCTGGCACATGCTACTGTTAGGAGGCATTTTTATCCTGTGCTCCTTGTTGTGGTATGTCAACAACCTTTCCCTGACATCTTTGTTCTCCTCAACACCTGTGTAAATTGCTTGGACATCATTTAACCAACAGCAAATGTGGCTGTAAATTTAGAGTGGGCAGAGCCTGAGAAAACTTCTCTGGAAGTTAGTGAAGGGATGGGACCATAGGTTGTCTGATAACAATAAGATACACTGGAAAAAATGGGAACTCAGTGAAATTGCTGGAGAAAGCCAATGTGTTGGAGGCTGTGGGAAGTGATGGGACTTCTAAAACTTGGAACATGGAAATCAGGTTAAGCACATCCCTGGAAAAATCACTGTGTGAAGCAATCCTGGATTGAGAGGCAGCCAGAGATGGAATGGGAAGAGAAGTTGTCTAGATATGACCTATGTGAGGCTTTTCAACATTTAATTTTTCCTGATATGCTGCACTATAAACTGAGAGCTCATCTTTTCACTAAGGATATGTTTGGGGAGGAAACAGGGAAATGAGTCAGGCTCTGAATCCAAAGGGGAAGGACATTTTGAATTTCTGGGTGTTCTGCCTGTGAATCCCGTTGTTGTTAACAAGAGTACTGCATAGAACTTGCCATGCACCATGCTGAAATATTTACCCTGAGGTGTTTTTTCCAAATATTTTATTTATGGTTCCATTGGTTGGATGAGTTACATGCTTGTCCCTTTAGAATTATTTATAAAATTTCAGTAGCTATAAAGAGTTTCTCTCAGAACATTCTGATCTGAATTATGGATGATCCTAGATTTCCTACCTAGTCCAAGATGCAAAATTAAAGTCACAGGACCAGTTACTGACATGGGATTCTCCATGATTTATGGTAGGTCTCAGGACATAATGCTGAGAAGGAGTTCCAGGTTCAGGTGAGGGTAAGTCCATGCTCCCTGCCCAGTTGACCTGAGAGCATATTCCCCTTACTGTGCTGTGGGAGATAAAGAAAGGATGTGGCATAGGCCATAGCATGTCCTGGACTCTCTGTTAGGTGTCCCAGCATAGGAAGGATATGGAACTGCTGGAGCAAGT